TCATCTAGAGTCTTCTAAACGCCTATCCTTCATTTCTCTTCCATGCTAGAAACCCCAGTCGCCAAAGACACCTGTCGGTGCACCAGCAGCCATTCCTTCCTCTTCCTTCCCTCCTCTGCTATGAGAGCCTGGCCCAGACCCCACAGACCCATGCTCGCACCCACAACTCCTATTCTCGCCTCTGTCCCATCTGCCTGCAGAGACCTCTGCCGTCACCTGCTCTGCCTGAGGACACCCTGGGCCATGAAAGAGGGAAACAGCCTGGGCTCCCTCATCTGGCATCTGTGTGCTCCTGATTGCCTGCCCCACCCTCACTCACTCGGCCAGCAGGACCAGCTTCACCCCTGCTCTCAGAACACCCCATCCCCCCAAGACCAGCCTGGGCTGGGCATGTGGGAGGGGGGGTGCCGCCTGGGCCTCACCCTCTGTCTTGTCCCCGACAAAGCCCCATGCATCAAGGCCCCTTCTGGGGCTGCCTCCTGGACCAGAAGGCCGCACTGACCCCATGTAGGTGGCCGGCGGCCCAATCGGTCATGCCCTGTCCCCAGGGTGGGAATTGGGAGGAGGAAGGCAGGCATGAGGGTTGGGGGGTGAGTAGCAGGCTCCCATCCGGGCTCCTGACCTACCTGTCCCACATTCCACGTGGCAGGCCTGCAGCTCCTGCCTGTTGCCTTCACACGGGGCACCCCCAGAAGCAGCCGGAGGGTTGGAAGGGGACCTGGGGGGGGATAGGTGGCCTGGGCACCCGCTCTCCTCTGCCTGCCCTCATTCCTGTCTTCCCGGTCACCTGTTCTCCAACCGTCACCTTCTCCACCCTCCAGCACCCCTTCCCTTCCTTCTCCCATATTCCTCTCCCTGCCCCCTACCCCCGCCACAATGGCTCCGTCCTGCACACCTGAACCGAGTTCGCACTCCAGAGCCACAGGAGCGGTCACAGGGACCCCAGGAGGACCAAGCTGACCAGCCACAGGACACAGGGCAGCCCCCGGGCTCGCACACCAGGGCCCCTTTCTCGCACACGCTGCAGGGGAGGGAGAGGCCGAGGAGGTCAGGACTGGGAAGGGGGGTGTGGAGAGGGGCTGGTCCCCTGACCCAGGCACTCCCTGCCACAGCAGACATCCTCACCAGCGGCTACAGTTGTCCAGGAGGAAGGGCACCCCCGGCTGCTTCACCTCTTCGCCCACCAGGCAAGGGCACTCAGAGAGGGGCAGGCAGCGGCCATCATGGAGGAGAAGCCCAGGGGGGCAGCGGCATCCTGGGGTGGAGGCAGGAGGGCACTCAGCCCCACGCAGGGGGGCAGTGGGGCGGGGAGGCTGGAGACCGAAGGCTGGTGAGTATCCTCCTCCCGAGGGCTCTGTCTGCCGCACCCTGACTGCTGGGTGTGCCTCACCTTCCAGACAGCGTCCACTGCATGTTCTGTTGGCCTCAGGATCCAAGCAGGACGGCGGACATGGTGGCACCAGCCCCTTCTGGCACAGCTCAGCACTGATGTGAACACGGCCCAGCCCACAGTCTGGTGGGAGAGGGACACTAGGTGGGGCGGGTAGCAGGAGGCCCGGTGACCTTCCGTAAGAGCCCCACCCCCACAGGGCTCCATCCCTGGATGCCCCTGCCCAGCCCTGCTCCCTTACCTGTGTCACCCGTGCAGGGCTGCAAGCCACAGGGTGCCCGCTCTTGGGAGGCCCCAGGGCAGGGAGCACCACCATTCTTGGGCGGAGGATCCACGCAGCTCCTCCTCCGACTTCTGTGGCCACCCCCACAGGAGACGCTGCAGGGCCCCCAGGCCTCCCACACAGCCCACACCCCAGCCACTGTGGGGGGAAAAAGGATGGAGGCGGACCAGGTGAGCCCAAGGAGACTCAGACCGCGCTGGAGAAAGCAAGGTGGCAGGGTAGAGAAGGGGCCTGCGTGGTGGCCAGCTAGGTGGCCTAGGGCAGCACCACGGGACTCAACTCAGCTCTTCTCCTGTCCCAGGAAACCTCCCCTTGGAGGGACTTGAGCAAAGATCTCTAGGTGCCTCCCAGGATGAAGGCTCTGGTCCCTAGAAAAGGGCTGGGGCAGTGGGGAGACTGGAGCGGGGCTCCTCCTGGTGGCAGCAGAAAAAACCAGGTTAGGAGACCAGGTGTGGGAAACCCCTCTCTGGAGCAGAGGCAAGGTCGGGACTACTCCCTCGCACCTACAGAACACAAGGGCTAGGAGGCCTTAGGCGCAGCCTGGGAACACCCTCACTCTGAAGTGGAAACAGCTTTACCGATCCAGTCCCCACACTAGAGGAGGGTAGGAACCCATCCAGGGCCACTCAGGCAGGGAAAGGGCAAGGCCAGGGGCAGCCTTCCTCCTAAGCCCTTTGGAGGTACGAGGCTGTGACTTCAGAAGGGGCTGTCCCCCTAGAGTCGTGGAGAGGAGCCCAGACACCGGGGTCCCCAAGAGCGCAAGGGCACTCCCCCAGGTGGGTCTCGGATAGGAATCCACCCCAGGTGTCCCTTCCGGGGGCAGAGGGGGCGGGGTCCTGAGGATGCCTGGGTGCCAGTCACCTGGGCAGGCCTGCACGAAGCAGGGCTGGCTGCGGAGCCTGTCAGACGGGCAGGTGCCCCCAGGCAGGGGAGGCCGCAGCAGGTCCCGGCGCTGGAAGGCGAGGCCCAGCCCACAACTGCGGCTGCAGCTGCTCCAGCCAGACCAGGGCGCCAGCCCACAGTCCACTGCAAGGGGATGGGTGCGCAGGACTCAGAGGGGGCTCGTGCAGGAGCGGGGCCCTCAGAGGTGTCCCCTGGCCAGGTCCGTACCACAGCCGTCCTCGTCAGAGCCGTCCTGGCAGTCAGGCCGCAGGTCACAGCGTCGCTCGGCCGGCAGGCACTCCCCACTATCGCAGCTCAGCTGGCTCGGGGAGCAGAGGGCTTTCGAGGCCGGCAGCCCAGGCAGGGCCGTGGTGGGCACCAGGAAGGGCGCGGCGCTCGCTGCCAGCAAGGTGAGGGGAAGGGAGCCACATAAGTGATTCCTGACTGGGTGATACACTGAGCCCCTTCAACCTCGGGCCAAAAGCAGAACACACTTGTCAACCAGAGATCCTGCCTTTCCTTCCTCCTGAAGCTTCCCACACTCAGTACAGCCTTCTGTCTACATGTGAGGGGGAGATCATGGGCTCTGGTCTGCACAGGCTCTCACCCAGCCTCTCTGCTTGTTAATGGCTCCTGGGGGGTCTAGAAAGACATCAAGCTGTCTAGAACAACAGTTCCTTCCCTGGGGTAACCTCTTCCTGAATGCAAACTCCCTGGGGTGGCCCTTTCCTGATTGAGAGAGTAGGCTTTGAGCACAGTGATCTACTTTGGATGGATGGATGGTGGAGGGATGGATGGATGGATGGATGGATGGATGGATGGATGGATGGATGGATATATGGATAGATAGGTGGGTGGATGGATGGATAGATGGATGGATAGGTGGGTGGATGGATGGATAGATGGATATATGGGTGGGTGGATAGATGGGTGGGTGGGTGGGTAGGTAGATGGATGGGTGGGTGGATGGATAGATGGATGGATAAGCGGATGGATGAACGGATGGATGGGTGGGTAGGTAGATGGATGGGTGGGTGGATGTATGCATATATGGATGGATGGATGGATGGATGGATGGATGGATGGATGGATGGTTAGATGAGTCTCCTCAAAAATCAGACAGGGTTTATGAAACAAGCCATGACCTAAGACCTACTGCATTTGCCCTCATCACCATCCCCAAAGACACACACATTCCTAGCTGTTTTTACCCACTCAGGCTCCTTTCACTCTCTGCTACCCCTAGCCCCTCAGAGTTCCTTCCCATATGAGCCAGGAATAGGGGGCAGAGACTTCTCCAAACCTAAAGCCCTCTGGTCACTGCTACCCACATGACTTCAAACCCTCCGGGGAGCCCTGAAGGGTCCCCTACTCACCACAGCGCCTCTCATCGGAGCCGTCCAGACAGTCCTCCCTCCCATCACACAGCTGCTCCCGCTCCACACAGCCCAGCACCTCACAGGGCACCTGGCCTGGGCTACACTGCACAGGTGGGAAGGGTGGCGGGGCGACACTCTGGCCTGTGGGCACCATCGCGGCCAGCTGACTGGACCCTGCCCACCACGTCCCCCCTCCCTCAGCCCCCAGTCTCCCTCCTCCTGACATCTGGTGTGTGTGCCCCCTCTTCCCGCCTCTCTTGGGATAATGGAAAAACAGTGAACTGTATCAGGAGACTTGGTCCTAGGCCTGATCCTACCAAAACTCTGACCTTGTGCTGTGGGATCTTGGGCAAAGCGGCTAACCTCCAGGGGCCTGTTTCTCCGACAGGGAGTTGTTCAGATGCATAGGTTTAGCAGGCAGAAGACAGCAGAATCTTACCAGCAGGGGCCACTGGACTCATGGGGTGCAGGGGGAGCTCTGTCATGGCTGTCGTTCCTGGTCTCAGGGCCTTGGCCTCAGGCTGGGAGGTGGGGGGGGTGGTCATGGTCTGCACAGATTCCCTAGGACTCAAGCGAGGAGCCTCGGAGTCTGGGACCTGAGTCACTGGCCCCTTCCCTGTGGGTGCAGGAAGGAGAGAGGTGAGGCCCTCCAGCTCCCCTTCCGTGAGATGAAGCAGAAATGGGTTCTCCAAAGGGGTATCCAGGCTTTGGGTGGTACAGGGTTGAGCACAGACCACACCACACCTTCTGAGGGACTTCAGACCACAAATGAGGTGGAACTTGGTAGTCCAAGGAGCACAAGAGGGTTTTAAATGAAAGCACAAAAGCGCTTAGTGTCAAGCTGAGATTTGTACCCTACTCTCAAGAAGCCACACACGGCAGCTTCCAAGAGGAACCGACAGCACAATGAGACATTCAAGTCTGCACCCGATGACCTCCTGGCAGCTACAGCGAAAAGGGGGTTCGAGATTCTCATTGCCCAACAAAGGATTAACGTTATGACACAGCCAGTTTTCGAGAACCAGACTCAGCGTGACGTTACAATTCATCACATAGCCTGCATCTTGCGGACTCAAGCGATGGTACGAGTTGCTGCGTCTGCTTTTCACAAAAAACACAGAAGGACGGGCCAGCCGGGCTCCTGGATGACTTTCGCTGGAACTCACGGGAAGGGGTCGAACTCAGACCTCTTAGTCTTACAGATGGAAAAACAGAGCCCAGGGAGGTGGTGAGGCAAGCCAACATCTCCCAAAAGAGGAGGTCAGAGCCAAGCCACAGCCAGCTGACAGCCCCGCCCATTTCCGGCCTTGCTCTGAAGACAGCTCTCCTCAGGCTAACGTGCAGGTGAAAGGTCAGGCAGCCACAGGGAGGCTGGTACATGACCCTCAGGGAGCCCCTTCCTTGTCCTCGTCCTTGTCCATATACCAGGGAGGCTGGTACATGACCCTCAGAGAGCCCCTTCCTTGTCCAGTTTAGGAACATGCTAACTTGGTGACCCCATGTTCCCCGTGCCCACTTAGAGACATGCACGGCCAGCAAACCCT